ATTAAAAGTTGGCAGGCCATACGGAAAATGATAAAAAGCGCAGATGCTGAGGCGATTAAAGCATATATGGCTATGAAATTCGTTTGAGGTGATAATTTATAACTATATAATAGCCTAAATAATGTTGAATTAGGATCTGACCATTCTTTCAGCCAATAGGTTTCACCAATCGTTAGAACTCGAATAATAATTAACAGAAGAGCAAATATAATCCAACACAATAACCCTCCACTAGATTTGAGGTAAAAAAAGTAAAGATTGAGCCGGTCTTTTACTTGATCATGCACTATATTAAGTATAATCAATTACAATAAATAAGTTTTGTTTAAAATTGTTAAATTTGTAACAAATATATAAATATACCTTCATGTGTTGTCCAAATTTTTTTATCATCGGTTTGATTAAGTGAATTCTGTGTAATTGTATCTATTTGGTCATGTTTAGCATCTACGTTTGTTCTAAACATTTCATTGGATAAAGCTTCAGAATCTAGCAGTTGTCCAGGAGGTCCTTTAGCTATAACAGTCCCACCTCCGAGTATTACTACATAATCAGAAATATCCAAAAGGTCGCGAACATAATATGTTACAATAATCACGGTTCGCCCAGCAATAAATGGGCTTTTTATACAATTGTCAATTATTTGACGTGCTTTAATAAAATTTAAGGTGTACCGTATTAGGAAATATTGAAAGCATAAATTTCAAGTCAATGCCGTTATTAATATATATATATCGATATAAACCTGTAGTTGAATCCATAATCGACAAAAAATCATCTAATAGCAGAATTTGCGCATCACTATATAGTGCTCTTGCAAGTGCTATACGAGTCTTTTGTTCATCGCTTAATACTAAATCTTTATCATTATACTTTTAATACATTAATAATCTATTTTAGAATAATACTATACTGCTTTTATAAAAACTAAGTAAAATAGTCGTACCTCAGTGAAATCAGCTTGTTCCATATTCTCAAAATCTTTAAGTAAACCACATGCATCAACAACGTTCCAATAACGTTCGTCTTCGAAATTAGTGCCAAATAGTATATTTTCTCGTATAGTTGAATTTTCCAACCACGGTTGTTGAGGAACATATGCAACTTTTGTTGTAGGAAAATGGATAGTACCACATAATAATGATGTTTCACGAAGGAGTGAAAGTAAAAGGAGAGTTTTTCCAGAAGATTTATGACCACCTTTCAACAAAATTATAATGGTAAATAAAATAGAAAATAAGACAGAAATCACGAGAAAATTCATACGTACAAACAATGCTTAGTGCACCAGGAGGAAACTTTAAATTTATATTTCTTAACACAAAATCATTAGGACTTCGAATGATATCATCATCCCAAGCCACATTAACACCAGTAAAACCAATATTGGCAGTTGTAAAATCTGAACTAGAAAGTTTTTGAGTCTCAATTTCATTCATGAACTCTCCTACGCGCCCTAAAGAGATCACAAGCGCCTTAAGTTCAACCACCAAATCCGGGAAAACTTGCATTGATTGTTTCAATATATTAAATAACATAAGACTCGTGAAAACAATTGCAGCTGTTAAATTGTTTTGAAATACAATTGTGTAAAAAGT